ACCTTGAAGTATTTTTGAAAGAAAACGAAACATCGGACATGAAAAGGGACCCCGCTTAAGACCGTTTAAGGGACCACATTAAAAGTTTGATCGAAAATTAAATCATGGTAGCTGTCTGGATAGACGGAAAATATGTTGCTTCCAAAGACCACGTAATTCGGTTCACTTCCAGCATCCTAACAAGAAGTTTGCGTCAAGAAAAATAACCAGGATCCTATAACCAGAATAACCAGAATACGCAGAAAAGCAAACAATGGTAGCAAAAACACTATAATGACGATAAGTCTTTGACACATCGTGGCAATCTATTGAAGCTGTCTTGAAAAATGAAGCGCCTTGCTAGTGCAATTTTGCCCGGCGCAACATTCGCTTGCCATTTCTTACGGACGTGATGCAACTTTTTAATTTGACAAACTTAGGAAAAAAACAATTTTGATTAAGAGTTTTGTCGATTGTGATCAGAATTTCAGTGAGCAGAAAATACTGAAAGAGAAAATTCCTCTAGGAATACGGAAATTGTTTATTTCTTTTATATTAAAATTTGGTTTATCTCTATTTCATTAAAAGGAGTTATTACGCTAATTCAAATCGAAATTGAAAACGACTTTTCTGCATTTAAATATAAGAAAAAAATGTGTTGTTGAAAAATCGGAAAAAAACCCGGAAAAATATCCAAAAACAGAAAAAAAAAATTCAGTGAAACAAAACATTCAGTATTTACTCCTTGTCTTCTTCTCCTGTAACCTATGGGCACATCCATCATCACGATAGCATTTGTAACTTAACTTATTGAGAGTGGGTGAGAAAAATTTAAGCTCATCGCCATTTATACAGAGCGTCGTTCACTTTAATAGTGATCATAAAGATAAGACAGTTCGAGCTGACTGTATATCTGACGAGAAGTCCGATGCTTGCTTTTATGCTGTATAAGTATTTAACTAGACTGTGTTATTATCTTAAAAACCTTTCAGAAAAAGTAAACATTAAATCTAAGATTAAATGACTATTCGGACGGTGTATGAAGGGTACCTTAGGATCCGTAATTCGAATTTTAACTTTCAATTACAAGAAAACCAGATTTGTTCATTATTTAAGGTGCGTATGTCAGTAAGTTAATCTACTTGATGAGAGATCGATTAGCTTCTTTTTTTTTTTGCTTCTAAATTTTATTGCGACATTTAGCAAACGTTCACCTTTGTCGCCGACCCCTGTTTTAAGGATTGTAAAATTTTTAACGACGACAAGCCCGGCATAGATTCGATAGAAATTAACTCATATTTCACCCTATTCACCCTAGTATTGCATACTGTACGATTCTATATATATATATATATATATATATGTTACGAAGGCAACGACAAAATTTCAAACACTTCTTCAATACTCCGATGGGTATAAAAAAAAAAATAAAAATAAAAAAATAGAAAAAAAGAAAAGCAAAAATCTCTGGCACACTTTTTCTTTACAATCTGCTTAAAAGCTTATCCTAAGAAAAAGTCTCAAACCGTTTACTAACACAGCACACACATGTCCGTACATAAGGACATACACTTTTATATAAACACAAATCAACAAACTCTGTATAAATAAAAAAAAAAAAAAGAGAGAATTCTGCAAACGATAAAAACGAAACGAAATCCAACACGGAGACATATCAACAAACTAACAAATGTGTAGACAAACAGACAGACGGAAGGACAAATAGACAAACAGATGTACTTACCTATGTAGCAAACAAACACATGCAGAAGGGGCAAAACAAACGGGAAACAAACTGTTTTTAAGTGAAAAACTCTGAACCTTTAGAGAGAATAAAAGACATTTTTGTAGACACTTGCCAGACACACTTTTCACAAAACACTCAAACTCCAGCTGAGGAGAGCAACAGCTACTACTGCTAGCAAGGAGAAAAATAAAATGAAAGCAAAAATAAAAATAAAAAAAATAAAAAAAATCTGATATAAGAGAAAAAAAAATAAAAATAAGAAAAAAAATAAAAGAAAAACAAAAACAAAAAAAAACACAACCCGGGCAACAGTAAAATGCATATTCCACACTTTCGTAGTATAAATAGTAATAGTAGCTGTGTGTTTATTATATATGTTTGTGTGTATGGCAGTTTATAAGAGTGGTAGCAAGGCAACAGATGCCAAGTGTTGGTAAAAGCACTACATTACGCTGCTGCCCCACAACATAACACACCAATACACATATTTGATATGATAAGGTATAAAAAATATGTTTGGTCGGCATTCTCCTGCTGCTGCTGCTGCTGCCGGTGGTGTTGCTGCTGCT